GTTTGGTAGTTACTGCATATAACACTTTGAAACTGCAGTACACAAAATCCCTTTTTATTTTTTATTCGGCTTCTGATAACCAGACAGGGTTGTGAGAAAACTTTAAATACACCATCTATGCTCCTTGAATACACAATTCTCTACAGCAAGGTGTGTGTGTGTGTGTGTGTGTGTGTGTGTGTGTGTGTGTGTGTGTGTGTGTGTGTGGTTGTAGTCTAATATTATATATTACATATAGTATTGCCAGTGTGTCCAACAGTAGATTTAGGAAGCTTTAGTAATACAATTCACCGCCAAGTCTTCAAACTGTTTTGTATATTGCACTACATCATCAGCTAGAGGACCAGAGTGTAATACACAGGGCCAAACTCAGCCTAAATAAGTCACAGGATGTTATCGCAACTGCGCTCACACAAAAGCTTCAGAGCTGGAGGGTGTTTCTGCACACTGCAGGTGATCTGGAGCATGGGAAGTGAAATAAACAAGGCCTGTGAGGTCAGTTTTGTCTTCTGTCCACTAGGGAAACAGAGGAACCTCATAAAGCAATCTTCAGATCGCAGAGTGGAAATGTTGTCCCATGTATTCACCAGGTGTGAAAACCCTGGGACAAGAGAGCAGGAGAGTATGAAAGGAGATGCTGAGTGGAAAAGCAGACATCGCCTGCATTACTGAAACCTGGGCTCACTCAGATATTCCAGATGAGTCTGTTTCTTCAACCACCTGCTTCATGTCTGGATGGAAGTTTTTCAACATCTTAATTTGCTGATGCACCAGACACATTTGAGGGGAGATCAGTCTGATCATATCCAGGGTGTTGATGAGATAGTCCACTGTCTTCTGCTGCAGTGCTTTCTTTTTTTTTTTTTTAAACCATACAAACAGCCCTAGATATATGTATGTCCTTAAAGAGGAGGAAGACAAGTTCACTTGAGAAGCCATGAATCAAGGAACAAATGAAAGATGATAACTGCTGAAGGACCATGCTGAAGATCTGGCCCACATTGCATGGAACAGTTCCAGCTACATGAAAGACTTCAAATGTGTGCCCCATACCCAAAACTCCAAACCTCAGCACTCCTAGTGCTGAAAGCCCATCTGATTAACGTCATGCTGGGAGAAAAATAGAGGAAAGATTCATCATGAATAAAGTGATGTCAGCAGTGATATTTGAATGTAAGAACCAGCATGCCTACCTCCCTAGGTCTGGCACCATAACTGCTCCTGTAACAGCCATACATTCCTGGTTAATGGCTGCAGACTTGAAACAGCAAACAGTGTTGAGGTTGGTGCTGGCTGACATGTCCAAGGCCTTTGATAGAGTGGACCATACCCAGCTCCTGCAACATCTGGCCAACATGGAGCTGTGCCCTAGACTTTCAGCCTGGGCACACAGCTACATGACTGGAAGAAGGAAGGTTACATCAGGGGTCCCCCAATGTGGTCTTACCCTGCATCTACCTCTCCCTTAACAAACATTCATAGTGACACTGATGACCATTAGTAAATTAAACAGAAACCCACCCCAACCTGGTGCTCTGTTTCTCAGGGGATAGGAAATCCTGATTGTGACTACCAGTTAGTGCCTAGGCTTCCACCTGGACCCTGATCACAGCGGGGTCACATTAAATAGGGAGTGAGAAAGCCTCTAAATATCCACTTTCCACTAACTGACTGTTCTAGCAAGACACAGCCTACCTTACGAGGACCTTATCACCATGTATAGTACAGCCATGTCTGGAGTACAGCATTGTCGATCTGGTGGGTTGTAATAAAAGCTAGAATGCAATGCTGGAGAGGGTGAAAAAATGTGTCTCAGGATCCTCTCCAGAGGCTGAACCCTACCACCCAACTTTTCTTCAGAACTAGAGGGAACACTCAGCTGGTCAGACAGATGATAGTTTATAGGATTTTAAAATGTATGCCTGGTTGTATGTAAGTATATGGATGTATTTGTAAATATGTATGTATGAGTATTAATGGCGGTTTACATTTTTATGATGGACAGTTATGTAAAGATATATAAATTATGCTTCTAATCAGTTTTTAAAGGACCAGTGTGTAGGATTTAGTGGCATCTAGTGGTGTAGTTTCAGACTGCAACTCACTCGCTTCACCCTCCCTTTCCAAGTGTGAAAGAGAAACTATGGTGGCCATGAAACCCACAAAAAAAAAGACCTCCACACAAGGCGACCCGCAGTGTTGATAGATAAAAACAGCTCATTCTAAGGCAACAAAAACACACAGATTCTAATCAGGTGATTATACACTAATGAAAACATATCAATGAATATTGTATTACATTTCTGACAATAGATCCTCCTAAATGTAACACACTGGACCTTTAACTGTGAACATGAATTCAGATAAACTCCAACACAATATCAGCAAATGTACATTTAGGGAAATTGAATTATTTATAAGTGTGCTACATGTGTAAGTTGCAATAATAAAGTAATCAAATACTAATTTTATCTGAAAAAGAGCTGCTGGTATCTTTTACTTTTCAGTTCAATTTTCCATTGGATCAACGCACCACCAGCTAATCAGGAAAAAAGTGTGTAAAGGTTTCTCCCATTTTCACTTCAACACAGTAATAGACTGCTGAAGGAACTGTAACTAGTCCATTTTAAGACTGTTTTCAGTTACCAGGGCTTCTCATGACTTCCCCCATGGGCTTGCGCTCCCATTCAATCTGAAGCCTTCGGTGAGACTAGCCAATTCCACAGGTCACTGCCCCGGTGGAAGTCTGGTAAACACGTAATAGAGGAGTGAGATGAGATAGGATTGTGTTGTCTGTCAACAGAACAAGGTTGAAAACATCAGCACAGCAAAACCACATACGACACAGTGATATAATGTTGTAACCTATGGTGATAGGTAGATAGATTCTTTAGTACTGCTAGCCTTCAGATTTGTTTAGGGTTTGAATCACTGCACTATGTCAAATGCACATGCCATGTTTAGAGAAAATCACGGAAAGTATTTTGGTAAAAATGTATGTTTGGACCGAAACTAATTGGATTTACTCTTTTGACTCTTCTTGAGTAAAGTACAAGGTCGAACTTGGCAATGGCACTTTAAAACACCTGCCAAACAAAAAGCAGTCATACAGAGGGCTGGACAGACAGCGCAGGCAATAAATCCTCATTTACGTGATGGTCACTGAGGTGTGACAAGCTGGCTTCCACAAGAGGGAACTAGATCAAAGACTGGGCAGAGATGGAGACAGCGGGAAGGTGGTTAACCTCTGATGAAAAAGTTCTGTGCAAATGTGAACCTGACCTTCAAGTTCTGGCTCTAAGTTAACATGAAAGTGGAAACTAAAATATAAATGACTGTAACATTTGGAGTAAATATGGAACAAATCCGTGATTCCTAATCCTTTTGAAACGCCTGATCCTTTTGAATCTTTGTGATGTGCCTTAAAGTGCAAGGTGTGATTATTGAAATACATCTAGTCAAAACCAGCTTAATGTCAGCTCTTCAGTGCAAACGGACAATGCACCATTCGTGCGATATGATATTATGTTCAGCTGAGAGCCAACCTTTGAGCTACTAAATAATGTCCCATGGTCATAACCTCAGGCCACTGGAGCCATTGACAGTGGTACACACTTTCCAGTAACACTAGATATTCTCCTTTCTATCTTGAAAGAAACAGTTTTGGACAGCAGTAGCTAAACAAATAGGCAGGCTTGGGAAATGCTGTCAAGTGTCTAAATTAGAAATTCTCCCCATTCCCCTGAAAAATCAAAAAATACTGTAGATGCTCTTGAGTGAGACAGTAGTGTGCTGTGGTGTCAGTTAAGGGAAATCATGCCTTTAAATACAGATAATTCCCATGCTTTGCAAACAAAAAGGGCGCAATTTGTTTCCCCTTCATAAAATTATGGATTAAGGACTAGAAACAGACACCAGTCAGCCATTGAATTAGCATGATGAAGGGTGTGAAAACAGACAGGTGGATTGACAACTAACATTCAAAGTGATTTCCCATGACCTTTCCCTGACCAATTATAGCTGCCTAAACCTCTAATCTTAAGTGGGTTCATCTAAATCTTACTGTTTTCATTATTTATATTAAACAGGTGATCTGGTGTGTCCTGTGCACCTGTCACATTTTTTATTGCAGATTTAAAATGTCCCCATATGAGTAACTTTTATTGGTGCAGCTGCAAGGAGTGAGATGCAGAGTGAAGCAGCATATAGCTCAGTCAGCCATCCTCTCGCTTTGAAAACAAGTGCAATTTATGATGAATATGATCCATCCTTTTATTTTTAACCCTAACCCTTTTGGGGGGGGAGGACAGGACTGAAATGGGATACACACTGGGATGTAAAGTGTGTCCCTTTTTAAAGCTAGGATGATTAGTGAGCATTGTGGTGGGGTTGGGGGGTCGGTCTGACATAATCAAAGTCCAGTGTGTCAGTGACTTGACCTCTCAATGCCACATTTATCTGCAGTAAGGAGTGCTATTGATTGTAACTATCATTCAAAGTATTTTTAGACTTGTGTGCGATAACTACACTGAAAAGACCTGCGCAAAGCACAGGCGTATGTACAAGTTGATTGTAAGGCTTGATTGAATAATCCGGTTAATTGACCAGGTAGGTGTCTGACTCACTCAGAGCTGCCTGTATGCAGTCTATTTTGGTCCTAAGGCAATGTGTGAAAGGTGAACACGTGTACAATGTCCACAATCAGCCTACTGGGGTGCCTAATTACACACGATTAATGAATTGCGCACACAGAAAGAAAACGCCACCAGATCTGTCAGTGTGTGTAATAACATAGACCCACTTGATATATTAATCACGACTAGTAAAAGGACCGTGGGACAGATCGCCACCATAAGCTCATCAGTGTCCGCAGCGCGCAAAGACGCGCAAATGAAGAGGAAAGCGCGGCATCCTGTCGCCTCTCCTCTCTCCTGGAGGGCAGCAGTGATGCCGCAGCCGCCTATATAAGAGCTTCCAAGATGCCACTGATCGGTCATTCATGCACTTGCTGCCAGCGCTTTTCAAGACATCGCCTTCCTCTGCTCGCACCGTGCAACGTGTGCTACTACGACTCGGCGCTCACATGCAGACCCACGCTTTCAAGTAGCACAACTCAACATTTCTGGCGGATTTCTCTCTCCCGTGTGCCAACCATGCGCGTCAGCCAACAAGGACTTCAAAACAAGAACTTTGTCAAAGAAGAGTCCCAGGGCGCACAGGATGCTCCACAGCTCCACATTAAGTTGAGAGTGTGAGAAAAAGAGAAACAACAGGATTTTCTCTCGGTTAGAGTCACCAAGCAAGTAGCCTACACTCTGGATGGACAATGGATACTTTAAGTCTGTCAGTGAACGCGGTGTCCTACACCGTGGCAGCCGAACTCTCCACTGCTGATGATCCGTTTAATGGACCCATCAAGAACATCGCGCCGTGGAACTTCACTGTCCTGGCCGTGCTCATGTTTGTGGTCACCTCGCTGTCTCTGAGCGAAAATTTCCTCGTTATGTTTGTCACTTTCAAGTTCAAACAACTCAGACAACCCCTGAACTATATAATAGTTAATTTGGCCATCGCTGACTTTCTGGTCTCCCTCATCGGTGGAGTAATAAGTTTCCTGACAAACGCCAGGGGTTATTTCTTCCTTGGGAAGTGGGCTTGCGTCTTGGAGGGGTTTGCTGTCACTTATTTCGGTAGGTTTACATGTCTTTCCTTTTTTTTCTAGTACTGTAATTGCAAAGCTGCACAAGACAACTTCCATAACTGTAGGTGTCAGTGTTGGAGCTTTTTATCGTTTACTACACATGCTGCAGAGAAGTGTGATGGCTCTAAAACAGCTCCACATGGCACATCCTCATCTATCAGCACTAATATCAACATCTGTTCATAAAGCAGGGCATCTGGGAGGGAGGTAAAATAAAAGTGACAAGTCAATTCCACTTCAGGTGTTGCCAAATTGAAAAAGTTGATTGGGAACAGGGTGTCAGTAACTTTGCTCAGTTTCTTAGACAGTTCATATCTTAAAGTGATTGTTTATGTAAAATCCATTACTATGTCAGAGTAACAAACTACTTGCTGTTGTCATATGGGAATACTACTTAAGAATATTCAGTAAAATTCACAATGTATGGAGCACAGCAAAAAAAATACATTAACTACATATTACGTTGTTTTTAAATGTGTATGTAAAGAAAACTGTTTAATCAGATCTTCAATCGATTCCAGCTTGTAGAATGTGCCCTTTAAAGCTCATCCCCCATTATGCAGCTCTGCAAGTGTAATCTGCATTATGGAGCATATGGAAAACAAAATCTAGAGCACAAGGATTGTGATGATGGACATTACTGTGTGCAAAGTAAAAATGTATTCTAGATTTTCAAGATATAAAACAGGAAAGGAGATCAGGCAAACAGCTGAAAAAGTCACTTTCATTAGTATAATTAACTTGAGCCTATGGGGTAGTTTTTTTAAAAACTGTACCTGCATCCTATTTGCTGCTTTACTGCCTTATGTGCAGTAGGGTAAGTAACAAAAGACAAGTGTGAGTCTTTTAGGCAGAATTCAACTGCACGTTTAGGAGCCTCCTCATGTACTGCAGTGCATGACTTGCCATAAGTAGGTTACCAACACCGTGACCACCAATAACGTCTAACTAAGTCACTGGGTTGGGTTTTTGGTCTCTACTGAAGCTCTGTTCAAGACAGAAGACAGAGGTTCCCAAAGTGGGATCCTGGGCATCTGATGAGAAGCCTGCAGTCCAGGAAATCAAGAGAAAGGAGGATATCGCATTAATTCAGGCAAAGGCTCCTTATTGGATTAGGTAACAAGGTTTGTGCGATTCCAGTTTGGCAACTTGGACAACTGACTGAGGAGTGACACAGGATGTCTTTATTGCGGTCAGATTTATTATCATCAGGAAATATTCATATTGTATATAATGAATGGTCAGGAGAATATTATGAGTCTCTTATGATTCTACGAGAATATTATCAAGTTACATTCACTTGAAATAGTTTAACTTGTGGCACTTTAATGTGACAGCTTTTGTCCTTGTTATGAGTTACAACATGCCACATGGGTCTGTGCTAGACCAGCATTACATTGTGTCTTAGTTGAAGTGGAAATAGATACCAAAAAGCAACAAAATGCCAAAGACAATGAATTAATATTGTACAATATAACATGGTGTCTAGTTCTGAGTGTTTAATGGATATATTGCATGGTGGATCCTGGTGTATTGGGTCTTATGATGGACTAAATTAGCATACTAAAGAGTACAATTATTTATGATTAAGGAGTGTATGAAAGCAAATATAGCAAGGCAAAGAGCACTCTAGCACACGGTAACACAAAAACACATTCTGTTAGTAGCATGAGAAGCGCTAAAAGAAAATAGTTGACGTATTAAATTATGATCAAGGAAGCCATGCTTAAGTATAATCAATAACCTTCTGAAGTGAGGCTTACATCTTTAAGGGACTTGTGGTGGAAAGCCACTCCAATTTGAGTCTTGACAGCAGTTTCAGTGATTGACAGATGTGTTGCTTTGGTATTGCCCGTGTGTGTGTAGGGGGTGTGTGTGTGTGTGTGAGTAAATTAGAAAGTGATTAAGTAGCTCTTCCTGATGAGCAGAATGGATCTTCTACTCAATATTCTGCTCAGGGTGAGAAAATATGCTGTTTATTTTTATTTTTAGGTTTCCTATCTGCATCCACCTGTGCTTTACAGATAAATACTTATTGGGTATAAACAGAATGGACACTGTTCTGGAAAAACATGCCCTTTGATGGTCACTTTTAGTCTACTTTAAAAAGCTAAAGAAACAGCATTGAAGCATTGACGTTCATTTTAATAGTGAACCTTTGCAGAGGCTCTTGTTTAAATGTGTGTGTGACATAATTGAACACCCCGGTTTCCACCTTTCTCTTTTGTCCTCTCCAGTGCGCCTAGTAGGCAGACACTAGGAGTACCTGGCTGTGGAGAGATAGGTAATTAACCGGTCTGTGAGAGTGACTTATTACCATAATTAAAGTTGGCTTTTTTTTAGCCCATTAGGAGGCAGCCCTAATGCACCAACCCTGGATCATTTAACTATTTCTAGCAACAGTGCCGTCACTTTTACCTCTGCAAAGCACAGATTTGGGATACTTTGTCAAAAATTAAGAAACGTGGTTACACTAAAGGGGGTCATCTTGGACCCCAGTTGGATAAGTTCCAAAAGCGTGGACATAAAGAAACTAATGAGATTTCACACTCTGGTGGGAGAGGGAGGCAATCTAAAAGGGATGCAAATACACACATTATGTGCTCAAATATTGTGTCATTCATTTGTTTAGGTTTATTAATGTGTCAAATAACAAATAAAGAACACAGTGATTTTCATAGTTATTAAAAACTAATTCCAGGATATGGTGGCATATGTTTCTACACACTCCTACACACTGACCCCCTGCTTTTTGCCTCAGGGATTGTAGCCTTGTGGTCCCTCTCTGTTCTGTCCTTTGAACGATTCTTCGTGATCTGCCGGCCTCTGGGGAACGTCCGACTGCAAGCGAAGCATGCAATCCTGGGTCTGCTGTTCGTCTGGACCTTCTCCTTCATCTGGACCTTCCCTCCTGTGTTAGGCTGGAACAGATACACTATAAGCAAGATCGGAACCACCTGTGAGCCTGACTGGTGAGGAATGAGCATTTTATATTTATCTCTGTACTCCACAAAGAGCTGAGCCAACAGAGTCTGTTTAAACTGACAGCAGAGAGAAATTGATCTTAAAGGACCCATTCATCTAAATAACAAAGTTTTTTTTCTCACTTAATCCTTACTGTGGAAATTTCTTAGTACCTGAGAAATTAGCCCAATGAAAACTGGTGAGAGTGAGGTTTATGGGTTTTTAATCGGAACCAATCAAATGTAATTTTTTGCGCAATCAAATGTAATTTTTTTCGTCATATTGGGATGGCCACAGAACATGGCTCAGTATCAATACCGTGAGCAGTAAAACAGTGACAATTTAATATTAAAAAATTATAGTTATATCATACATTGATGCTGTTTTTATGGCTTCTGAGTCTCTCACACCATGTGGATGCTCACACACAAAATTTTCCTTTTCCAATTTTTAAGAAGCAAAAATATATTCTGAAATCAAATCCTGCTTCCCTGCCCCCAAAGAACACCAAAATCCACACCTAGACTTTAAACCTGTTTTTCGGCCACTTGGGGGCAGCACAAGAAGCTATAAAGTGTTCAAGGTTCAGCTTTCTTGTCATTATACAGTACAGGATTGCACAATGAAATGCAGTTGTAGCCCCCTTCACGCTACACACACAGAAAGTGTTAAATCAAATATTCCAATACTTTGAATTAGAAGACTAAATCAATAAAATAGAAATAGAAGAAGTATATAAATGTAGTGCTGAAGGAAATCAAAATTATATTGAACAGGAAGATATAGTTACGTACCTACATACAGTCAATGTCTGTACTGTATATATACACACATGAAGATATGTTCAATATGTGCAATATCAGTGTAATATTCATAACCTGATGTGCATAACTGATTAGTGCAACAGTGTGTAATCTAGAACATGCATAATGTAGAACTGAGAATTATGAGTTACTTATTTACAGTGAAGTGTGGAGGATGAGGTGGAGTTGAGGAGTCTTACAGCTTGAGGAAGAAGCAACTCCATAGTCTGGTGGTACTTCTGTATTGCTTGCCAGACAGAGGCAGGGTGAACAGGCTGTGGCTGAAGTGGGTGGACTGATAGGGATGTTACAGGGTGGTTGTCATTTAGACTGGACACTGCAAACTTAGCAGGTACAGGCATGGCAGTGGCTGTCTTGAAGCAGGTGGGAACACTGTCTAGCTAGCTGGTAGGCACATGTTCTGAGTACACGACCAGAGATGTAATCAGGCCTAGCAACTTTTCTCACATTTACTCTTGGATACTGCAAGTGGTCAGTCCTCTGGATGCGGGCAACCTTGGCAACTGACTGTTTGTTGAGGAAATCAAAGCAAAGAAAGCGTTAAACTCATCCAGCAGTGAGGCTTCACTACTGGTTTTGTAGCCTGTGATGGTCTGGATTGGCTACCACATGTGCTTAGTGAGTGGTAGTGGTAGTGAGTAACCTGATAGAAAGGCAGCTTTTATGGCTGTCAATAAGGTCCTCACCTATATATTCATCCATTCACTTGGGAATGATTTTATTGACACATTTGCTGATGTACAATTGAACTGATAATGCATATACCTCTAGGTTGGTGTGGTTCTCATCTTCTCTGAACATGTGCTCTCAAAACAGTCCTGTATAGCAGTGGAAGCTTCATCTGTTCACATTAACTGTTGTTTTCTGATGGTTTAATCCTTAATCAGCTGGGAGTAAGCTGGCAGGAGAAGCAGAGAAATGTGGTCTGATTATCCAGAGTTGGGGCGAGAGGGCTTTGTAGCTGCCAGGAATGTTTGTGTAAGCATGGTTCAGGATTTTGTTTGCCTCTGGTAAGGGGTGAGGACATGGTGGTGAAATTCAGGTGAAAGGTCTGTTTGGCTAAAATCACCAGCTTCAATAAAACTACCGTCCAGTTGTTTTGTCATGTGGCCTCTGGGGACCTCATGCAGTTCCTGTATTGCATTTTTAGAATTTGTGTCTTGAATGTAAACAGCAGTAACAAAAAGACTGGCAAATTCTCTCAACAGATAATATGGCATCTTAACATTAAGAATTCAACATCTGGATTATTATATATACATTGTTTTATAGATTATTTATAGTCTGTCAATTCGTACTGTGTTTGAGCATCATTTACACAGGTAAACACAGTCCAACCCTGTCTGACCAGTCTTTTTCTTGAAAACAGCTGCTTGCTGCAGTTGGCAATGAGGTTGATGAGAGCGGTGAGACTGAACCAAAAATTGAAGTTGTGGGTTGTAACACCAAATTTACTCCTAACCCTAATCTAGACTTTAACCTTTACTAACCCCAATGATTCAACCAAACCTTTAGCCAAGAAATGACTCTGCATTAGTCTTTTTTTTATTTTTTTTTTTTACCTCACACCACAACAGATAGATTACAGACATTCTACAGTCAGCCCTGTGGCTCCGATCTACATTGCTGCTTCATCCATATTAGCTCACACTGTGTGAATGTGTCTCATGGAAAAAGTTAAGAAACAGGTCGACTCTGACCTTGGCCCTCAGGGTGCCATCTGGATAATGCTATTTAGCTGCTTTGATCAAAGGCGGCCTTACAGTGTTTGCCTCAAGCACTGTAAGGGAACCATTGCTCAGATGAAGCACAGAGGGAATGAATGGTTCAGACAATACAATTAAGACATCACCTTATGGAGATACCCAGCACATAGATGACCTGATCCACCTCTGGCTGCACGCAGCATGAGTTCTGTCGGAAAACATTTAGTTAACAGCAGGAGCGCGAGCAGCACAGTTGAGGTCTGCAATGTTGCCACATGCACAGACTAATGCATTTTAAAAGCCTCATTTATGTGCATCTTTTTATCTCTGGATACATGCAGATATTCAGCACTGGACGGCTTCTGAATGTTTAGAAGAATACATGCAAGGTTTTGAAGCATTGCAGGAGAAGTTGGTGTCAGTGGATTGTCAGTAGGTGGCTGCATCCTTGGTGAGGGGTTAGAATACAATCTACCACCAGTATGCTGCTGAATTTCTTTAAAACCCCTTCTAGTGCTCAGGTATCATTTATCGTAAAGACACACACAGGTGAAGGTTGCCAGCTCAGACGTCAGTAACCTTTTACACCACCAGTGTCTAGCCTTTGTGTTTCTGGGGACCGGATCTCAGTGATTACTGTTCAAAACCACATTTTTTTGAGTTACGTGCATGCGACCCGTTACCCTGAAATTCCACCAGGCGTGGCTTTATACCGTTACTGTTTGACTTCTTGCCAGTGCGATCAGCTCTGTGCTACTTGACTGGAGTGGGTCACGGCTTTCGTTAAAAATAGACCAACCACGTATTATACACAGAGCAGAGCCCAGAGATGCTTCTGCGACGTTTTAGGGATGTACCACTGGGCTTCTGGTGGAATCTTGAGTGTTGTCTAGAATGGGTGCAATCAGCTCTGGCGGCCTTGGTGTAGCCGGAACGTGTGGCAGCTGTGGAATTTGAGGATTAAACAAAAAAATATATATTTGATACACTACTTCAATGCAGTATGTGGATGCAAAAGTGTATAAAAAGAAAAAAACTTTATCTGTTTAAAAGTAATGCGAAAACAACTTGGCATATTCATGTCAGACACCTGCAGTACAAAAATTGCTAACTAAAAAACTATTTTTTATCCTAGTTTTGTCGGAATAAATTGCATTTGTGTATAGAAAGTTTATAAAATCTGCATAGAATAAATATTCACTTCCCCTGTTTTTTTAAGAAGTGGGGGTGGCTACAATACAAGGTGGTTCACCTAATACATACATAAAAAATAAACCTGTCAACATTTTTAAAGTTACTATGTTTATAATTTAAACATTTCATGTCTTGGTGTCCCCCCGTGGTTAAATCAAAAAACGACCTCTCAAAAACTCAGTGTTGGCATAACTTTTAAATGTGAGCTCCCCAGTTTAAATGAGGAGATTCACTCTGACAGTGACAGTTGGTGAGCAGGGGCACCTGGTGGAAAGACTGATTCTTGTACATAATTAGATTTTTTGGGATTGTTTGAAAGAATTCACTGGACTGGTTCACCACATCAAAAATGACAGTTTGGCTGGCGACAGCAGTCTTGGAGATGACTTCAGTGCTGTCTGGCTCATATACAGAAGTATTACTTTGGCCTCCTGACCAAAAGATGGAGCTGTTGGGGAAACTAAAGGCTTCATTTGGTCACGTGCATCAATGATAGCTTCAGATCTTTGTTTAGGTAATTTTATACATTTCAGTTCAATGCAGAGACTCAATTGGTTTAGTCCAATGCATTTGGTGACTTATTAAGTCATACACCTGAAATGTGACTGCTGATTGAACTGAATGGATGAATGCAACTATGCACATCTACAGCCCAAAGACCATTAAATTGGAGGGGCTCACCTCCAAGTTGTTTTTGCTTTTTCTACATGTGGCACCAAAGGTAGAAAAAAAACAAAAACTAATGGCAGCAATTTGACACAACAGTAGGTTATGTTTTAATAAAACTATACAGGGCAGATGTGGTGAGTCTGGGGTGCATGGCTGTCTGTAGGGATGCAATTAGAAGAAGTTAGCAGAAATTAGTATTTTTATATCCTGCCTTTGGGGGCACTACATGATGGGAGAAATGAATGATTCAGGGGTCTCAGAGCTGCACATGGTTCCTAGTACACATTAAGAATTACAGATATTTAGAGTTTTAGGGCCAAGCGACTTTCACAGGGGCCCAGAATTTCTGCCTGTTGATTTAATTTGTGCACGTATACCCAACAACTCTACTTTGTCTTTTAATTAGAGTATGGCACTGCCCGCTTTCCTGACTTGTCTTGTTGAAAAAAACAATTTTAACAAACAGATTTAAAAAAAAAAGAGAATTAATTACTATTTTGCAAATTCATGAGGATTGAGGTGTGAATGGCTGCATCCCAAATGTGTGCTCAGTCACACGTCTGTGGTTCAACAAGACTTAAGATACTCCACCACTCTGTCTGCCAGGTAGTTTCATCTGGCACTTGTTTCATTTGACAGTAGTAGGTATTTTAATGGAAATGACATAATTAGACTAAATTAGTGGCCTCCAGTCCCCTAATTGTGTCACAGAGATTTGTCTCAGCTGTGAAATTTCCCTTTTAACTGAAGCTCAAATGAGGTGCAAAACTGTTGTCTTTCTCTCCAGGCAGATAAAAGCCTCTGAATGTCAAAATGACATTTCACAGACAACTCATAGCGGGAGAATTATGGGACTGTTAACCATTTTGTTCTGAAAGGGACAAGTGCTATAAAACAAGTTGTTTAGCATGTTGTTGACTGTATGCATCAATCTATTGATCGATCTCTATCGTTATTGATAGTTCATATTCTACAGTACATATATTTACATTTACTTTAAGCAAAAAATGTGTTGTTAAAATAATTCTAATGCTTTTGGTCAGGTTTCATGTATGGTTTTGACTCTTTAAAGTTCTTAAAATGTGAATGTAAGCATCTCTTTTCTCCACCTCTGAACAGGTATACAACCAACATGACATATCACAGTTACATCATCACTTTCTTCATCACCTGTTTCATTCTGCCTCTTGGAGTAATATTCTACTGCTATGGAAAGCTCCTGCGGAAGCTCAAGAAGGTTAGTATTAGTTCTAACACAACACTCATTTTTTTGATTTACTATTTTCAGTCATGCTTAGGTCATTTGTAAAATGTACATAAAATATGATTACCCAGTGACTGTATTTCCCCTGTTTACATAAAGAGTGAGTGGTGGCTGATGTGAGATTGCATACAGCATTATAAATTCTGTTCAGATTAAACAAAAGAGAAATAATAGGTTAGTTTATAAGCTTCACAGATGCAGATCTCCATCCAAGTTGCACTAGTTTGCTAAAAAGGTTACCCTAATTTGGGAATTTTTATTACAGGACATATAAGGTATTGGCCAGTCATTGCTGCTGATGTAGGTTCCTCCACGACTATAGCTTCCTAAAGAGCCTGTAAAACCTGCAATAATGCACATTTTGTCATAAATTCCCTTTCTCACTTTTTTGACCATGGTGTGCCTCAAGTAAACATGTTTTAATGTGAATATTGACACATAAAATAATATAAAGAAACAGACAAAAGCGCATTCCAAAGGCTACAGATTGGAGCCATTAAGTAGGACATTATGACAAGTTTTTTTTTATGGTTGTCTAAGAGCTGTTTTCACTTAGTGTTTTTGAAAAGTTTGATATATTTACAAGAATATGATATCAGCCTTGAAAAACCCATATTTGTTGTTTAATTACCTGTCTGCTAAATTACAAAGTACTGTACAACATTGTTCTGTGTCCTCCAGGTGTCTCATGGGCGCCTGGCCACTGCCAGGAAGCCAGAGCGGCAGGTGACCCGTATGGTGGTGGTGATGATCGTGGCATTCATGGTGGGCTGGACACCGTATGCAGCATTCTCCATACTGGTTACAGCTCATCCAACCATTGAACTTGACCCCAGGATGGCTTCCATCCCCGCCTTCTTTTCGAAGACAGCTGCTGTCTACAACCCAATCATCTACGTCTTCATGAACAAACAGGTAACTGAGAGTTTCAAGTGAGAAATACCACTTGATTCATCCACTTCGATCCTGTCCTGCTTGATCTATTCAAGTCATTTTTTCAATATTAGGAACGGAATAGTTAGAGCAGTGTAGAGCGCAGGTAGCTACAGTAAATTCCTTCCTTGACCAGAGTTGCGAGACGTCACAGTATGCATCAGATGAAAGCTGCAGCAGAAGATGCTTTTTCTGTTGTTGTTGGGTGTTAGCCTGTCTATCAATAATGCATGGTGTATGAATAAAAGAAATGTGAAATCCAGAGAGTACAATTGTCCATGCGTGTCACTGTTAAAATATACATTAGCCACCTATGGTTTGCTTGAGGCTTGCAATTGTAAAAGGCCCAGTGCTGAAATTTTTCCTGCCATTTACTTTACTTTGTTTACATTGTGGTGTCTAGCTCTTTTCCTCAGTGTAAGTGAAACACACACTCTTTGGGTAATCGTTATTGACTGTACAGATATTGACTATAGGACAGAAGCCATTAGAAGAGAGTGATTATGTGCAGTTCTTTAACATATGACAGGATGTTTGGTTAAAAGGCCTGTCCATAAGTTCCTATATTCCATTTGAATTTCTTTTTGACACTTTAAGCCACTCTTCTTTTAGTTTCTCTGTAAACTGCTCCATGATTACCCCTGTGATGAGTGATTTATAGTGTTCCACCAAAGATCTAAATAACTGTATTTAAGGACCATTAATTGGCAAATGTGACAGCCTAACAGGACTCCTAATTGCTTTAGTAAATTAAAGCAGCTGTGCAAAAAAGGTCAGGCAGAGGTACCGCTGACTGTAAGACAAATCTACTGCTGGAGCCTGAGCAGAGCGTTTCAGTCATGTCTGATTAGATCAACATTTTTAATTCAAATTCATTTATCTCATCTTATTCATTACTTGTACTCTCTAATTTTAGGATATTCACAGTAAGTGCATTGTTGAATGATATCGTTTAATGTAATACACACAGAAATCAACAGCTGGAGTGGAGACATGATAAGAGCTTGTTCTACCTAGACTACATCCTGATGAGTTTGAGTGGACAAACACAACAAGATGGATGTGTAGTATGTGCAGTGGTTCATATACATGAGGGAGGAGCACAAACAAAACATTCAGAAAGTGTTCATGTGTGAATTATTGGAGACTTTATGTCTCTCCGATCCCCCCTGGGATGTGCCCAGGACTTTCATATAAAACTGAAGTCTCCTAAAGATCTCTAACAACCTTTTCATGTTAACACGTATTCCTCCATTGCTCCATTGTCTGTGCCAAGTTTTTATTGTACATGACAGGTTTTATTTTTTCAGTACAATTCTTTACAGTCCCGCCACTAGAGTGAACATTAAAACTGTCAAGGCCAGTTATGACAAACATGAATAAATATGAGACAGTACAATTTAAAGTGATCTATTTTCAGATAGGGGAAAAGAAGTCCAACTTTACATGTAGGTGCTTTGCACAGCGCCTTGATCAGGCCTCCCTTGCCAACTGCATGCAGTCTGCATGTCCATCTGATTGCCCCATTTCTGAGCTGCACCCGCTGTTTAAATGGGTCACTCAGTGTCTCCGCTAAGACATCGACTGGATGTAAATAAGGACAGCTAGCAGGCAGATTGTGGTTTGAGTAGAGCTCCCACAGCTTCAGCCAAATTGCCAGTGCTATAGAAGTCAGCTGACCTCTAGTGCTTGATTGTGATATCTCTCTCAAAGTTACAATAGGAGGTGAGCCTCCTGGGATCTTTTATGTCAAAAGGTCGAAGGTGAAGAAACATTGTAGAAAGATCCATTCATCACTTCTACTAGTATAAATCCATTTCACGTGGGCCTTACACAGACTTTGATCCCTCAATGTCACACAGCTTGATCAGTAGGAAAGGCAAAGCAGAGAACTAAAAATAAAGCATTTAAGAAAATTAAGTCTGGACTGTTTTGACAGGATACTTGATGTTTTGCCCACTAGGGCCTTGACGTGAGAGAAAAACTTTATTGATCCATTTTAGAAAATATACTTTGTTCTCCTCCTACTCCTGCAGCTAAAGATTGAGTTGAGTTTTCTGAGCACAAATGCAATCTCGCAGTAAAACCATGGTCGCCACGAGGAGAGAGAATGTTACTTTTTTACTTTTAATGTGCACATTTTGTCAGGTGATTTATGTAATTAAGGAGGTAACCTGTGGGGGTCACACGTGGACTTAGCCTACAGATTGCAGGAACACTGGTAATTTCAAAAGAGCTCCGGCTTCACATAAAAGATCATTGTTGAGCTTAGCGTGAAGCTGTTAGAGAGCTCAAGGACTTCATTGAAAGCGACTCTGAAGAGAGAAGTATTTACAGTCCCATCATATTCCAAATCTGTATTTCATAAAAGCGTCAATGATTCTAAGAGGATGATTGCTGTAGAAATGGTCAAAGGAGGAAGCATATGGGCTAAAAGCATCATGACCTCAATATCTGTGTCCTTGGATACTTTTCATAAAGGTGAAAAGGTATAATATAAGCACTGTGCTCTCTAATTCACTAATCTGGGTGGAGAAAGCAAAGCGATCCTGCAGCTGAGTTCAACCAAACAAATGCAGCTTGTATAGAGTAGACAGGGTTGACGTCACTTTGTCACAACTTGCACTAAATCAATCTGAGAAGCATCAGAACTGGAAAGGATCCGTATGCGAAACAGACAGTCAGTGAAATGAAATGTATTATTTATGAAACTATTATTTATGTAGATTTGTAGTCATCTCAAAGCTGTGTTAACTAATGTTTAAGGTTCAATAATGGAAAAAATGACAATGTGTAAAGTGAAAGGCGTCACAGTGAAAAATCCAAAAGACCTGAATCCATGGATCCATGGTGTTTTAGCATCTTTACTCATGTTTTGGTTTTATAGCCCGGAACTTTTTTTGTCTTGATTGACTCTCAACAGTCTCGTCTCCAGATGCTGGCAGTTCTAAAAAACCCACTGTGTGCTACCTGCCCAGCATACAGTATATGTCCCAGTTTGTGACCAGTTACTCCGCGACATCACAGTGTCCCCCTTATTAACCTTAGGTGGAAAAAATCCAATCAAACTATTAATGTTTAACTTCTACCCAGCAGCTGGTTGCTGCCTCAAATGTGTTTTCATGATCCCACATGTCTACTGTCCACCTGACAGTAAACCCGAAAATTTAATTTTGTGCTGCTCCACCCTTCCTGCATTTCTTTCCTTAGGGAAAAATGTTATCCTTTGGGGCAGAAAGCCAGCGAGATAATAAAAATTACTTTAAAGATACAACCTGCTGGTGAATAAGAGGTAAACATAAACTTTGAGTAGGGAACCCAAATCACACAGTCAAACTCATACCACATGGAGTGCCAACGTCACCAGGTCAGCAACCCAGCAACAAACTGCAGAGAGACAACTAGCTGGTGAACATAGTGAAGCATGAAGAGCCAAATATTAGCCTCAGGAGTGAGTGAAGACCAAATTATTATTTTGGCAGTATCCATTCCTACAGTACAGGATGCTTACAGTTATCATGGTATTGCAGTGATATAATTAATGGTTAAGGCCTATTAGATAAGATTCAGATTAGAATTCAACTTTAAACTGCTTTAAAGATGCAAATGGAAGCACAGGCAAAAATAAGGATGGTGCAACTGGTGCAGCTGCACCAGGGGCCGAGACGTTGTCAGGAGCCCATGTAGGAAGGCGATGTCTTGCAGCTTAAATATTATAGCTGCATTTCACACAGTCTTCAAAGTAGGCTGTTAGATTAGCGTTGATAAATCTGCAGCTTCTGATCAACGGTTGGTTTGCAGGATGGTTTTGCATGGCTCTCCATGGTGCCTGTTTGTAATTGTAATGTGGTTGTGTGTGAGCACGAGTGTGCAGTTGTGTTGTTCAGGGTAAATGTGTTTCAGGCTATTCATTTTGCCATTAAGATGACATTTTATGACCTTATTCTCTGTGTGTTTTAAAAGCTATACTTTTCAAAGATGGAGGGAAGTGCTATACAAATACTACATGTAAGGGTTTAACAGTATATTTAATGTCCTAGAGTAAACAAAGCCATAGACAGCAAAATTGCAGCTTTTTGCATTTCCATGACATTAGAGGGTAATAGAGGTGTTATTGTCACTCTTTGAAAGCATTACTGGTTTGAGGGGAGCAGTTAGGAGGCTTGCGTGTTGAATTAGATAGGTCATTAAGGGTCAGGAATCATGATTTCTCCCCGGGGCTTCACAGAGTGGGAGCTTCAACACTGAAAAAAAGGTCAATTAGTGTTTTTAGATTTAAAGTAATGTGGAAAGCAATGATTGTGAGGCTATTAGTGAGGACCGGTTGAAAATGGCTATGTTCTTCTAAGAAAAGTTATTGACAGGGCGTCATTGTCACTGCCATTGTGTGTGTGTGTGTGTCTGAGAGGACAATGCACATTTCCAGGTTACGTAATGTTGTGACTGATAGTAGTAGAAATGTGCTTGACCACTAGAAATCTGGAATTACTGATTGTCTGCACAGCTACTTTACACACTAGCACAAAAAAGTTTTCAGTGTGTCGTGTATCTGTAGACACTGCCAGTTAATTTTTTCTAAGCAAACAAATGTCATGATCATTGATTTCTCAGAGTCTTGTCATCACCACGAGATTGCCAGGCAACCAGCGGAGACCTTGCACTAAGTTCTGGGTGGATGGATAAACTGCAGCTTGTCACAAAATAGTTATGGCTCGTCTACAGAAGAAGCGTTTCAGCTGCGTCGTCCGTCTCGTGCGCCTGTGACGGAACAGATTTCTATTTTAAACAGTCCAGCTGTCTAGGCCATGCAACATATCTCTTCATGAAACCCGATGCATATTTTTACACTTCAAGTACTTTCTTCTGTTTTATGTGTGTAACTACAGTCACTGTGTGTTGGTCTCTGAGTGCGAGTGTGAGTGACCTACATGGTGCCTGAACGCATCCAATGTAGCCACGGATGGAGGACTGAAGCAGCTGCTGCTCTCTTAACATTGTTGCTTTTGGCTACACAGGCTACACTTTGTAAATCCCTCTCAAATCTAATTGCAGATTAAGCTAAAGTGATACAAAGTGTTAATTTGTGAGTTTTAAAAAAAGGTGCTGCTAGTTGTATTTTTTTTTTAATTTAGACAAGCAAGCGGCTCCCTACTGCTTCCAGTCTTTAAGCTAAGCTAAACTGAGAGTGACATTGTAATTGCAAATAATTTTAATCAGGCTGACTGCTTTTAATTCTTGTGTTTCTGTCCAGTTCCGGAAGTGCCTAATCCAGCTCTTCACTGGCAAGGGGACCATCCCAGAAAGCAACTACAACCAGACCTCAGAGCGACCAGGGATTACTGCAGAGAGTCAAACAGGAGAAATGTCAGCCATTGCGGCCCGTATCCCCGTGGGTGGCTCTACGTCGCCCAGGTCTGATGACTCTCCAACCGACTGTGGCTCGTTAGCCCAGCTGCCCATCCCAGAGAACAAAGTGTGTCCAATGTAACCTCATACCAATTGGTGTTCTCATACTGTCCTCTAATCCCCAGAGTCCATATAACCTTCTGTAATCTAGATACAGTGTGTTTCAGAACCTGTTTGGACAGCAGCAGAACTTTAAATCTTTCCTTCATTTCTTGCGGAGATGGATGGTGCAGTGTGAAGAACAGAGATTCAACTTTTGAAGGGTTTTCATAGTTGATGATTCTAGCACTTTTTTATATTTTACTTGCAAAAGTAATTAAGAGACACAAAACATCAAAAACTAGAAAAGGTTTTGGGCTCCAGCATGTTTCAGTAGTTTGTTCAATATTTGCTTTAACAACAGAGGGGACAAGAAGGAACTGTACAGAGAAATGCTCAGAGCCTTACCCGCTAGATGTCTTGTAAATATTTGCTTGTTGGACTCTCCTGCTGTTGGAGAATATCTTGGATGTTCTCTTGACTATCATTGCACACCTGCTAGTCTGTCACATTAGAGGGCACTTTATTTGACTTGATAGTGTCTGCCCTCATATCCCAATGAAAAAAAGAGACTGCTAAAAGCGCAAACCTTGACATCAGTTAGTTGAGGGCTAGCCAGTGTTTTTCAAATACCACAATGCATCCAGCCTTTCATCTCGTCCTCGCCTTCTCCTTTGAAGCCCTGTGATGGCGCCTGTAGAGAAAGCGTTGTTTTTCTATGCTGTTTCAGTGCTTTGCTTTGGCAGCGCATCTTTATTCATCTCCGCTCGTCCAGAGGACGGAACAGTCTTCTGAATTTGGATACTTTTACTTTAGTTTATGCCGCATAGACTAGTTTGGGTCAAAGCTTTCATCTTTAGTGAAGATGGTCAATGGGACTCAGAGATGCCAGTCTCCTGTTGCCTCTGTTGCAGATGTTGGAGGACAATATATTTATGAAGCGCCAGCAGGGGATCAACAAACACAAAAACATGCACACAAATACAATGCATGACATACAGTGTACATACACCACACAAGGATGCACATACACATATGTGCATACACACAGACAGAATGCAGTTGCACTGCCTGTATTATGATAAGCCCTCAGAAGGCACTGTGAAGATGATACAATGCACAAAATATCCTAGCACTGGAGTGGCTTAGCTAAGCAGCCATGTACAAAAGCAATGAGCATTAGCATTATAAGCACAGGTCAACAGCAATATTAAAGCTAACTACTGTCACACAATTGAACACTTCAATGTAAGCTACAGTAGATGTAGCAGTGAGTGTTAAAATGTCTACTACTTGACTTTGTGGTGCATGTTTGTTCACTATTACTGGATATTTGTCAAAACACTGTTGTATTATCTATGCTGCACAGTGATTCACTATGTTATAAAAGTAACAGTATGGTGTCTGTTTGCAATGTACTGAGTGTGTGTTCCAATCATGTTTGGCCAGTCTGGTAGGAGTAACATTAAGCATCGTTGAGCATCAGTGCATCTGTGCCAAATGAATTGTGATGCCTTGATATAATTAGCATAACCACATGAGACTACGGTGAAGACCACACCAGTGTTTCCCTGAAAATCTTATTTTTCATGAACATTATTGCTTTGTTGTTGATGATGAAATCTACACTTTTTATATAACCTTTATGGAACTTATCTACTATCTGCATTAATCAGTATTTTCTGTGTTAGCGGTTGATGCCTCAGTGTGTTGTGAAAGAATTGCTCATAGTGCTAAAATCACAGAGAACCATCACCCAACAGCTATCAGCAGCTGTGTCCTTTTCAGAGTCTTTAGCTCATAGTTGTTGCTGTATGGTTTAATCTCACCGCTGTCCTATAGCCCAGTCCGGCAGCAGTTAGCTCAGCACAAATATGCTTCTATAAACCAACTATATGCTACCTGTCCAGCAGCAAATGGGGGCTAGGGACTAGATAGTGCAGAAAGTTGCTACACTTTCTAAGACCCAGATATTTTTTATCACCACTTAAGGTGATCAGAAACATGATTTCAAATGAATATTCCTCCGTGTCTCCATATGTGAGGCTCTACTTTTCAAACTCATTCACTGTAACAGTGTAATAAGGTGATTGCTGTGAGGGAGAACTGGTACCAAAGTAACACAGCAATTTTATCTGCACCCATATAAGTGTGATAGGCCTAACTGCGTCAGCACTTACAGCACACAACACTTACCAGGACCACAAACGCTCGCGTGGAAGTCAAAGATTTACCTAAATAGCTGTTCACACCAATTAAATCTACTCAAGCAGTAATAATGTTTTATGAAATGGAACATGTGGAAAGTTGTTTCATGTGTCATAGTCATGATCATCTGACAGATTATTTAGTACTTGAAAACATCCTGATGTTTGCCATGTCAGTTTTTCAATTTAGAAGAGTCAGGTTAAACTGTCAGGAGTCAACAGACGTTTCTTTCATCCGTCTACAGTAACAAAAAGCGTTTGTACAATGCACTGTATCTGTCACAACTGTGACAATGAATAAAACAAAGAAAAAGAGAATTTATGTTAGTAATACAACAAATAAAAAAAGACATTATTCCACATTCGAACAAAAACAGCATCTGGTATTGATAGAACACACACATGAGTCGTTGATCACAACGTAATGTTATCTTTCAAAATTACATTTATTCTTACTTTCATCCCAGTTCTCCCCTATCTGCCAGCTTATTCTGGCAACTCTTTGCCCCCACTTTAGGTGGTGTTCAATATTGAGCTTTCATCTGCCACAACCTCCAGGTCCAATTTTGTGGCATAAGGCAATCCAGATGTTTTACTTAGTCAACTCAGAGAAAAATAATGCAAAATGTGGTTTAGTTGCCAGTAGAAATGTTCAAGCCATAACTCAGGTCTGTCAGAATTCGCTTTTGCAAGTAAAAGCACTAGTCTTTTGTCCTTAATTGCTAATTTTCAGTATACGTGGCAGTGTTGCATGACAATGTTTACCCTCTTAAAGTATATTCTCTGAATTTGTTTTATTTATTTTTTGTAAGTTTTAGATTCAAACACTCCAGCAAATCAGCAAATTACAACCACCATAATATATAAACACAACTTGTAAATGCATAATTTGCAAATACTGTGTCTGTTGGTGCTGCACAAGGCAAAATCTGTATAAACATTGATATATCATAGGTGCAGTGTACAGCCAAACTGCTTTTCAACAGACAAGGCCAAGCTTAAAAGTGTCAATGAACTGTGGCTTCAATGGCTCAGACCTCTGCAGCAAGGTCAAATAAAAAATGTCATGTCATAAATGTCTTACATTACTTTTCACATGAGTAGTTCAGATCTTTTAAGGTATTAATATGTAGACATGAGCTCAGGCAAGCAGACTTATGGTTGCAGAACTCCTAGTGAGATGGGAAGGCTTCATCCAAAAACAAGGCAGCGTTACACAGCCAGCCAATAAATATATGTGAATGCTATAAACACCCTGCCATAACATCACGGTCCAGCTTTCGGTGTCTACTAATTCATTGGCTTACATCAACTGTTCCAAGATACTGTGAAGTCTAAGAGAAGAATCCAGCAGCACAAATCCACTAAAGAGTTTCTTGTGTGTTATATTGGGGCATGTAATTGCTTGTGGTTGTCTCCCACCACAGCACTGCCTATCTACACTAATGTCCATGCATCAATATCACAACTGGTCAGTGAGGAATATCTACTGTGTGTCAACAAACTGTCTGTTTAAGTGTCCACAAACATACACACACACACACACACACACACACACACACACACACACACACACACACACACACACACACACACACCTATCTTCACCAGCTGGTACCAATTTATTTAACCTTTCCCAAGCCTCCCCACTACACACACACACACACACACACACACACACACACACACACACACACACACACACACATACAGACACCCATCTAGACGCGAAGATACTGTAGGTGTGTAGGGGTTTTGGGAAGTAGTGACTTCACCTTGAAGATCCGACCGGTTATAAATCAAACAAACCTGCCAGTGTTACATTCTGGTGCAAGGATTACAGACTGCACTGCATGCTGATAAGGGGAGGGAACACTCCCAACATGTATAGATGGGTTAAAGCTCCTATTTCTCACTTCCCAACCTTGAATATCAAGCTGCTCCACTTGTTTGTTGTGTTGTACTTACAGAAGGCATGTCAATACTTGTTCTGTTGTATGTTCTTTGTGTCATGGGTACTTTTGTCTTGAGTTTGATTTACATGAGTTTACAGGTCATAGATGCACGCTGGTTATAAAAATGTCTGTATTAAAGTATATTTTTTGAAAAGCAATTATGCACCGTGTTCTTTTGGTATTTTTACAAAAAGTCAAATGGGAACTAATTTGATTGATGGTGTGATTAGAAGCTCTGGACGGGACTCACTCCACCTCTTCCTATGCTCCATTAAGCAAGGTACAGTTTGAGGTGATCCATCCTCACGAGCATGTCCACTAAATCTCTGGGTAACCAGGGTGGGTTGTCCCACTGTAAAATTGGCAATTACTTGTAGATTCACCACACTGAGATGAGACTTTTATGCCCACTTGTCATAGGTTGTCATGAAGATTTTGAAAATATGTTTTCACCAAATTCAATCCAAAAAATTTGCCTCTGTGGAATTTACCGCCACAAATAATTACTGTAATATGTAAAAAACATGGTCTCAATCATTATGTTTCATTATGAGTTCCTACACTTGTGCAAGAGGTAAAGTATGCTGAGCATTCAAATGGCTTCATTTGAAATCTGTGACAGTTTTGAGATGAAATTAAACTAAATTTTGTCAAAGAAACTATGGAATTTTATTTCGTTGACAACCTTTTCTTCACGATGGAAACAAGACTAAAACATGATAAAAGGTAACTTATTAATATGAAAAACTAAAAAGACAAATGGACTAATTAACTAATTGTTGTTTTAAAGTTTTACTAAACAATTTGCATGACTCTGTATAATAACATAATGTAGCCAAGCTCCTGTTTAGTAAAACAACATCTTCCACCAACAAAAATATTACTTATTCAGAACTTGATTTAGCTGGTTTACCATTATACGAAGCACCTTGCATTCAAGATTCTGCCATTACATAACTACATAAAGTTACATAACAGAACTTATTTGTTAATTAAAAATGAACAACCCCCCTACCACCTAACACCCTCTCTACTCCCAACAGTTCTGTCACCCCTTAATGGACCATAAAAACTCCACACACAGACAAATAACACATTACACAGGCTAGCACTTACAGTGAAAGAAACAATAGCACTCTGACAACTGGCCTCCCCTCCTAACACTGGAGCAGCTCCCTTGTCTTTCTGTCTTCAACGCCGATGACACACCACCCCTCCGAGAGAGGAGTGCAGTGCCGGCATCATGGCAAGAACCGCCTCCCAGAGGGTCCTCGGCTGTGCCTTCTGTCAGTGTTCCAGATCCCAGACAGCACCCTTAATTAACTCCAGGTGAGCTAAATCAGTCCATTACACCTGACTGCACCTCCCCAAAGAGCAAAACACAAACTCCATATAAACTAACCCAACCTATCACTGCACTTAAAACATCATCTAAAACTAAATCAGAATCAGATATCAAAATGAACAAAAACGAGAAGAGAAAAGCCTTCTGCTGGGAGTTTACGAAACGGCCTAATTATACGCTTAAACAAGGTTCATTCATTTACAGCCTAAGAGTTTTCTGAGGTGTGTTGTTCTCTATAGGAGTTTTCTAAAATGTTTCAGCCGAGAGGAGTTTGAAATGGAATGAAATGACGTTGACCAGCAGCATGATGAATGCATTAAGACAGATCTCATATCTGTGCCTACGCCAAAGATTTTTTCTATGTTGCAGCAACCTAGACATGCCTTCTTGTCATTCATATAAATCTGGTAATCTCGTGACCTTAGTTAGCCTCATAAAGTCAGCATAAATGCACTACACATTGTTGGCTAGCTGCAGCTTTGAGCGATGATGAATGAGCAGGTTTGGAGCAGTTGCTATAGTTTAAAGGTTTTCAAACATTACTTTTAAAATGCTTTTGGCAAGGGCCTATTTCACTAACTTTAAGTAGGGGGAAGATATCTTCTTGAACACAGAAAGAAGATCCAGTACTATTTATGGACAGTAAGTCATGGAACTGCGGTTTTAGTTTTGAGTGTTTCGCACAGGCTGTCTCTGCTGACTTGGTGACAGTATCACCGGAGTAGTAAGACGATGTTGCAGTTCATGGCTGGTGAAAGATGGGGTTGAAGTAGAGGTGAAACAGTGAACTGATGTGAATATGTGCATTGTTTGGGTATCACGTTTGCAGAATGTATTTGCGATATGGATTTTTTCTTTTCCACTTCAGTGAGCGTACACCATACATACATCACAAGGTTGGAAAACATGGGCAGTAGATAGTGAAGAAAATGTGTGTAACGTGTAACTATGTGAGCATAGTCCTTAAATTTGATATGTAGTCCAGCCTCTGCGAAAAAATACAGCAGAAAACTTAATGAAAAAGGTTCAAGTGTTTCTGGTGCTGAAAAAAAAGCAGTTTTGAAACATAACCATGATTTTCTATCTTCATTCTCTATCAAGATCACTCTTTTCCCAAACAGGTGTTTTCAAGGTCCTGTCCTGCTCCCACACTGAAGCGATCAATATTTGAAACATAATTGTGATGATGGATGTTTGACCACACACATGTTCCAAAGCCAGTGCCACACATCATGAACTGTACTAACAGACCCTGACATACAGCAGGTATTGGGGACCAGCAGCAATGTCTCCAAACCCCATTACAGGGCCTATTATAGTGACATTATTAAGAAATGTCCTTAATACTGTGTCCAAATTCCTGTAGATTAAAGGGTGTTATATCCAATACAGATGTGCAGGAAAGCATGTCCACCCTCTCCTTCTGTCTCTTCAGTTGTTTAAGAGAAGAATACGGAAGCCCATTTCCACTACACACACCTGACTTGTTTAACTACAGTATAAGGGCCAGTTTTCAACTTTTCTTTTGGCCGTGCAATGCAAACTACTATAGGACACATTTGTCCATCATCTATTCTCTCTTTTTGTTTCTTGGATCCCAGAGTTTTTGTACTTTTCTTGCCTTGTTCTGGTTTTTGGACTGGTGCTGGGATGAAAGAGCTGCTCTGTGGGACCACAGTCTGAACTACTCCATGGAAGTATAGTTGATATTCAGTGCCTTGCTCAAGGGTCTTTGTTGATCAGCATCTCTGCTGCTCTCAAATGGCCTTTCGCTCTCTCCTCTACCCACTGGAAGATTTCAATCCCTCCTTTGAAGCAATAGTGACAACAGCGTCACCATATCCATCATGCAGAAGAAATAGTAAATATTTACAAAAATTGTCAAACCACGAGCTGCAGATGACAGCTGAGATGAAAGTGTTAGTGCAGGCAAAGATGGAGAAGAGGATGACACGAAACATAGTAGCAGAGGTTATTGTCTCAGGGGTAAAGGCTGATGAAATAACTGAGAGGTCCAGTAAAACCAACATCAGGGAGCTTCCAGTTGTTATTTGGTGAATTTTAGGATAGATTATATCACATATCTAACGTGCTCTGAAAGATGGAATCTACTGTAAACAATGCACATGTGCAGCTTTTTTTTTTTTTTTAACATCTGTCATGTATGGAAATTGATTAAATCGTTAAATTCCAACCTGAGCTGAAAAGCACAAATTGAAATACCTCAAATGATCTTTGACATGTGAGTTTCGTGTTGAGTTTTTTACTCCCCACTAAAACTTACTAAAGAACAGATGTGTTGGTGCAGTATTTATCTCATTAAAGTTGGCTTATTTGCTTTCCAGTGAAATGAGCAGCAGGTCTTTAGTTAGAGATGCATATCATCCCATTGACGTCATCTGTTAAAAATATGTCTGCCCGCAGCATAAAGACAGCTGTTCTCTCGCTGATCTAACCAAACCACAAACTCTGCTCAAATTTTAGCTTCTGCCGTATATGGCATTATTTGATAACCCCAGTCTGACCACAGTTCACAGATGTGTAACTGTAAATCAAACCTACCTGGTGTAGGTTTTCTAAAAGCTCTCTTTCAAAAGCAGTCCTGTCCTTTTAGCTCTGTTTTTGGTCTCTTCCAACTTCTGAGGGGAATGTCTGAATTTTCTGCTTCTAAATCTTTCACTATGTTCACAAGCTTGTCGCTAACTGCAGAGCACCTCCATAGAGGTGAGGGAAACTTCACAGCTGGGTGATAATTATGAGCAAATCCTAATATGTAGTCATTTGATCAGTGTGTGTTTTGGCTTGAAGTGTTTTTAAGAAAGGACAGAGGAGACGCAAGGTAGCCTACTTAAAGCTAATGACACCACTATATCACAGGCATGGCATCCACATGTAAATATGATCATGACAGGTAAAAAATATCAACACCATCAATATCTTCTGTGTTTATGTATTTTGTTTCATTATAATACTTAAAATCCTCTTCTCCACTCACTTAATAATTCACCTATAGGGAACCTTTTACCACTCTCATAAATCATTATAAGTTCTCATACTCTCATCTAGTCAAAACATTGACAGGCGCTGTCCATCATTTCTGTGAATACAGTGGCAAGAAGTGGGTAAAATGAAGGTGAGCACTATGGACAGCACTCTGAACTCATCTGTCTTCTCTACTTAAGATGCTGAGACATCACTGCTGCCCTGTAGCTGCAGGTGAAGAGTTAGTAC